GAGCATGGGAACACTGAATGGTTTAAAATTAAGAAAGGTATGTGACAAGGTTGTATTCTTTCACCATACTCATTCAACCTGTATGCTTAGCAAATCCGAGACGCTGGGTTATATGAAGAAGAACATGGCACCATGATTAGAGAAAGGCTCATTAACAACCTGCAATAAGCAAAATGATAGAACCTTGCTTGCTGGAAGTGAATAGGACTTTAAATATTTACTAATGATGAACAAAGACTACATACAGTCTTAAGTATGGATTGTACCTAAATGTAAAGAAAACATATACACAGGGTAGATAGGGATGGGCAACTTAGACATTGGCTATGTAAAATGAACAGGTGACAAAGGTACAAAGTGACTGGCTTACAATATTTCAAGGGGGGCTTTAGTTTAGTAGTGTGTGGGGAAGAAAGAGTCCCTAGTGAATAGTTTTCATCTTGTCTAGATGGGTCTGCTGAAAAGAGATGGGGATAAGGTTCTTATGATTCAATAGTGAATAATTGCTTTCTCAACTAATTGCAACTGTCACAATTGTAAAGGTAGAAGTTTTGTAACAAAAACAGGGGAGTGGTTAATCTTACAGTCCAGAAACAGAGGACCCTAGTATCATCAAGGGAGAAGAGCACAAGCAGAATGCAGGACCTTATCCAGAGAAGCAGTGAAGCCAGAGACAGAGGCAGAGATGGGGTCATGCAGTGGAGGAGTGGCTGAGGACTCTGGACTCATGAAAAGAGAGGGACTAAGAGCTGGTGGCCAGGGGCAGACGTGCAGAATGTGCCATTTAGAGGTGTATATTATTATATATGCCTGAGTGATTTTTTGTTTGTTTGTTTAAAAAAAAAAAAAAGCTAAAGTGAATAGAGAGAAATACTGTTAACTGATGGCATATGGAGGGGATTATAATCATTGTAATGAAACAAGGCGTATGATTTGTTGAATGTAAAACTGATGATCTGCTCTGTAAACTTGGACTCAATCCACAATAAAAACTTTAATAAAAAAAAAATCCTCACAACTGGACCAATAAATAACATCATGATAAGTATAAAATATTGATGTTGTCAAAGACTTCATTTTGCTTGGATCCACAATCAGCACTCAGAAGTTGTTGTTGTTGTTATGTGCTGTGGAGTTGGTTCCAACTCATAAGTGACCGTGCACAGGGTTTCCAAGGCTGTAAATCTTTTGTTGTTGTTGTTGTTGTGTGCCATCGAGTCGGTTCCGACCCATAGCG